CAAACTAGCTTTACAGATTTATGGGTTTTTTTTAAAAAAATAAATCTGTAGATTAGATATATCCTGTTCTATGGTAAGTGCTGACTAAAAGAGACCTTCCAATTACCTTCCCCTGATGAGCATGCTAGCTGTCTTTGTGTTTGGGCTGTGCTTTGGAGCATGGTCTGTAGAGGTTGTTTTCCTGTTTCTGCAGATGCTTTTGACAGAGAGTACAAAATGGCCTATGATCGTCTCACAGCTAACCAAGTGAAGAACACTCATAATTGTGATAGACCACCAAGCACTGGAGTGATGGAATGCAGGAAGATTTTTGGAGAACCATATCTTTAAATATACCTAGATAAAGAGGTGATATCTCTGACGTGTACCTGTGTAAAACAACCACTTCAGTCACAAGGAACATCTCAGTCTTCAGTGTTCAGGAACGTGTGTACGAGTGTACTGTGGCAGAGGGCCTAGGAAAAATTAGGCCTGTCTACAGTTATGGAATGGACTGAGTGAAAAATGGGCCAAAAGTTATTTCCCTGTCCTTTGTCCTTTCTGCAAATCAATGGGTAGAAAGGAGGATTGGAAACAAAATCAGTTCTTTAACTCGGGACAACACATTACAGTTCCCTTCTTAAAAATAAACAGGTGGACAGAAACAATGCACTGAAACTAATGTGAGCAAAGTAAATTCTGCAAAATCTATTGTTTACATAGAATATTCATGATGTTATGAAGAGCATACAAAGTTGTATTATACATATTTTAAATTGTTTATAGTAAGTTGATATTTTTTTAAGTTTTTTAAATTACTGGAGTGAATTTTAAATGGACTTGCTGCATAAGCAATACAGTGCTTATTTTTTTTGCAGTACACTGCTATTTATAGTAACTTGTCCAGTTACTTTTTGAAGAGTGATTTGTTTTCAAAGCCGAATAGGAAATGTTCACCTTTAACCTAGACAGGATTTCTCTTCTGCACATGTGAAAAACATGTTACCACAGCAACTGGAAGGAAGGTGTGGTAAGCTCCAGTCAAAGTCCACCAACGAACACGCTGCTGTCTCTGTAAAACTCCCCTGTAGAAGTCTCCTCTCCCTCTCCTCTTCCCTTCACTCCCCACTCCCTGGCAAAGAGAAAAGCCTCCTGAAGAGTCCTGCAGGTTCTGTTACAGAATCAGGCCGTCTCCACTGTCAGCATTTGTTGCTGTGACCTCATTACAGAAGTCTTACAAAGCAAAGAGCAGCCTGCACGAAGTTCTTCATACCCACGCAGCGTTCAGAGTCTCGGTGGATGTTTGGAACACACTAAGTCTGGCACGTACACAATGCTAACCCAAAGCTCTTAACTGAAGTACACACAACAAATTTGCTACAGGGAATATAGGGAACGTAGCTTCTTGGGGCATATAGTGCATAGTTAAATGTACTGGGAATGTTTGGTCTCTATTTCACAGGCAAAACAAGTCTTTTTCTTTTTTTCTGTGAAGAAATGCGCTGTGTCAGTCCTTGTGGTGGAGTCATGGCTTTTGACTCATGTTTTCCTGTTCTAGAGATTTAAAAAACTGTTCTGTGCTCTCAGTCACCTAGCAACTCCTCACCAGAAGGTAGGCTACAGAGAAAATACCAGAAGTCTTGTGTGGAGGGTGGGAAAACAGATACTGAATTGTATAAAATGCCCTAAACAAACCATGTTTTAACAAATAGCTTTATTTTAAGTAATCTTAGTGGTTTTCCAATTCTAATTTCTTTTAGTTGTTGCTGTTATAATACTTCAAAATATTCAGCTGTTAATTAGATTTTATATTTTGGTCTGCCTACCAGCAGGTAATTTTTTAAAGTCCCTTTAGTTTGCAAGTGTAATAATACAGCAATATTTAGTTAGGCAGAAAGGAGATAAACTTTAAAGCTCACGTTTACTTTATTAAATGAAATAGACTGAGCCTCTTTGAGGCTCAAATGAGAAGTAATGCTGCTATGAAGCTCTGTGTAACCTCCTCCCAGACCTCTGTAAAGTAGTAAGGAGATGCTGCCCTAAGGAGAAAAGATTTAAAACTTGTAGAGCTGCAGGTATATGCTGATGATAATGGCAAGATGCAGTCTTGTTGGATACAGCTTTCATTGGGTAATACCTCTTCTCTAATTTGCTGCTAATTACATAGCTGACCTTTTCAAAAGTATCCCCCCACCCTGAGGTGTGGAGCTAGCAAAGCTACACTTAACCAATGTTTTTCACATTTAATTTATTTTAGCAGTTTCTGATGCTCTCTTTTGTACTGCCAGGCTTGTAAAGTATTCCTCATGCATGAAATATAGCTCCTTTTTTCACCCAGGTAAGCAGTGTGTCAGCATAGGGCAGATCCATACCCTTCTTCCTTCTGAACTGCTGGGAAGAACAGCAGGTGACTTGGTCAGCCTGCTGGGTGTGAGTAGCCAGTAGTGTGTGTCTGCTCTGCTCCCCGCAGCAGCACAGGCTGCATGCAGGAGTTGCTGTGTATGAACTCTCAGCTCTCTGTGCTGTGCAGGAGGTCACATTCCCAGCTCTCTGCAGTTCTCTTTCCCATGTCATTTACCACTTGGGGCAGCCACTGTTTTCTAGGACCTTCAAGCCATGAAGGAGGGCGAGTTGCTTTTTCCAGAGCTGCCATGGTGTGTTAGAGGTCCTGAGCTATGAAGCAAGCTTCACACTTGTTACTGTAGGCTGGTAGAAGCACCTGAGCCTGGTCTCTAACCACCTCTTGCTTACTAGGACACAGCACTGCAAGTGTGTGTGCCAGCACAGGAGTAGATGCAGCGCTTGTAAATCGTGGCCCAGCGCTTGTAAATCGTGGCCTGCTTCCCCCATTCTAGTCCCAGCTCTGTTGTAAGTACTTCCAACTGTCTTCAGAGTTAGAAAGCCAACAAGTTTGCCACTTCATTCAAATATCAACAGTCCTGCTAGTAGTACCAGGAGAGTATATACTGTACCAGGGGAAGGGTTGTACAGGCATCCTCAGTCTCGCTGTGTCCTTGCATCCTCAGTGGCACTCCTGAAGCATTGCTGATGTTTATTGGGGTGTGCTTTACAATGACTGTATCATGTTCATCAGATGAAATCATTAGACTTAATTCTTTTATAAAGTCCGTTGCAAGTCAGTCCACTGTAGAAATACTATAAAAAAATATAGCTGGAATGGTGATATACTCTTAGTGGGAAATTTTCCTGATTCAAGTCATAATGTTCAAAATGTAGGTCCTGAAGTGGGTAATTTTTATGCATCGTACAATTCAGTGTTGAAACAGTTTTCAAATCTCACTGTCCTTTATTAGAAAAGCAATTTGAGTCTATTTTCCAATACCACAAAGATGGATAAATAAAATATTTGAGACATATTTTCAATTTAAAATTTTGTATGAACTGAATTTTCTCCTTTTGTGTACTAAATAATGCTTATGTCAAAAACCTTAAACAAAGGTTTTACATTTGCAGTGCAATATATATATATATTTTGCTTTACTTATGGTTCCACTGGAATAATTATTGGAGATGAAATACTGAAATGTGAATAGGAGTTGTGCTGTTTCTCTGACACTGCTGCTTCCCATTTTGAGGTTTGCTGTTGGTACAGTTACAGCCTGATGAATTGGACTTCCACGGGCAAATTAAATGATTTGTACCCCAAGAAAGAGAAAATTCTGCGTGTAAAATCTTTGTGTGACAATTGGGAGATGCAAATAGTAATAATAGAGAGGGATATTTCTGGTTATTATCTCCCTGAGATTGAAAAATGGTACTTTGTTAGACTGCAAGCAGCACTTTTTAAATGAATGGTTGTAGATGTGTAAATATGTAATGTTTAAATTTTATTTACCAAAAACCAATATGTTGGATGTTTGCTTCAGTTTGTAGTTCCTTTAAAATATGCAAAGTCAGTGTTCACAATGTTAAGTTTTTGTCTGTCTCATCCAAAAAAAAAAGTTTTACAGTGAGTCAATAAAAAGCTTAAAATCTTTCTGGTTATTTTCACTAACACTTTATGAGATGGATTAGAATGATGGAAGTGTTGCAGCTCTTAACTGCATTGTTTGCTCCCACCAGGCACTGTTACCAGTAAAACCCCCAGGTTTGTTGAGAGGTGACATCAGTGGCCGTTTTTCGTCGTGCAGGAGACAGTGCTGACAACCAGGGTTAGTGCTGGGGACAGTAATCTGTAACTTCCAGGGATGAGTGTCAGGGTTGAAAACAAAACTGGAGCAGTTTAACTTCTTGTTGTGGTATTTCTGATTCCTGGTTGGAATGTTTGTTCGTGGTCACCTGGAGTTCTAACCCCAGCTCCCTTTAACCTGGCAACAGCAAGCTGGAAACCCACCACTTCACACCTGTGTGGTGGCACAAGTGTGGGGCTTGCATTGCAGGACCAGGTGTGGATTGGAAAGGAGCCACAGGGACAGCTGTCAGGTCTGCATGCAGAAATAACTCTTGCTGCTTTGCTTTTACCTTGAAGACCTTAGTACATCATTTCCCACAGCACTTCTGTGATTCTGTGAAGTGCATCCCATGTTCTTGGGGGTGTGTATAAAGTGCCAGTTGTGGGTGCATTCTCGTGGCACTGAGAGGAGGAGACCTACCTCTGCATCAGGAAGTCGTGGCAAATGATCTGCAGCAGGAACCTCAGCAACCGTGCTCAGTGCTGGTACACAACGTGGGGAGCTCACCTCTGAGGATGGAGTGTGTCACACTCAGGTTTTAAGCAGAGTGGTTCTGCAAAGGCAAGCCAGAGAGGCCTGATTCTGCTCCTATGAAGGTAAAGTTCATCAATTTTGGTGAGTTTGAGCAATTTACTGAGTGAGTTAGAGCATGCTTCTGAAAATATTTCTCCAATGAGTAAAAATTCAGTGCTGAAAAGCAGCTCCATTAACGGGAGGGGCTCAGCCCTACTGAAAACCTCACACACCCACAGCACATCAGCCCTTCAGTGAATGCCCGAGCAGGCATCTCACTTGATGTGGGTCACTTTGTCACCTCATCTTTTCTGATCCTAAGGAAAAGTAGTAGAGGCCAACGTACCACTTGAGATTTATTTCTTTTTAGTATGTTAAAGATACTTTATTCTCAGTAAGTTTGTTACAATTCTGGTTGCTTTTTTTCAGTGGAACAATTGCTACCTTAAACCCCTTTTGACGTTGCTGTATGTGTAGATCCATCTGGAACTGTCCCACTGTCATACTGATACTGGGCAGGATATGATCTTGTCTTCTAACATCACGCTGATGATCAAAAACACAAAGTAAAGAGCAAACATGGTGAGCCCCAGCAGCTTGTTCATCCTCCACCTGCACACAGCGATTGAGATGATCACAAACAGGAGCATGAGGAAAAGGAGAACAATGGCACAGAACAAACCATTGCTGCTGACTGCCACTGAGCTGAGTTCGTTGAAGATAGAATAGAGGAACCAAGGAACTGGCAAACTGCAAAGGAAGGAAGAACAATTGAAATTAATGTTTTAAGGCAGTTCATTTTCTGCATCATAACTAAGCATTATTTTCCAAGCTGTTACAGGGCAAAAAGCCTGATTGCATTCAGCATAAAGCCAAAATTGATGTTGGTTCACATCAAAAATTGCATTTGGGTAACACTTGCATGATCATAACACAGTCCAAGAATACAGAAGGGGTTTTTAAATAACACCCATGAACTGAGTGTCTCTGTGCTGAGTGTCCCAGATTCCCTCGTGAAGAGGGAAGTCTTGATGCTTAATGGATGAGAGATGCAGGCACAGATAGTGAGCCTTGAGTGCACAGGAGTTGAATGTCACTCAGGGAGTAGGTAAATATCTTGTCTGTAAATCTGTCATTTTTGGCACTGATTTGTTACATTTTTGTCTTGAAAAAACAGTAATTTTTTGTTGATTCAGAATCAGGTGAAGACAGTAGACTAAGTTATAAAAAAAAAAATCTGTCTTTCCTGGCTGGATTGGTTTGAAAAAAACCCCAACTGGTTCCCCAGCTGCCATTCATGTAATTGCAGCTCAAATGAAGTCATTTAAGCCTCAGTTTGGAATAAAACCAGCTAGAAGGAATGCAGCTGATACTCACCCAACTGTGATATCAAAGATATTGCTGCCTACAGAGCTGGAGACAGCCATGTCGCCCAAGCCTTTCCGTGCAACGATGACACTGGTGATGAGGTCAGGGATTGATGTTCCTGCTGCCAGGATGGTTAACCCCATAATCTCCTCCGATATCCCAATCGTTTCACCAACCTAATAAATACAATTAGTCAGCAAGAGCTCTTTTGGAAGGTGGGATTTTAATTGCTCTGTGCAGTCTTTTAGGGTTTGTGCCGTGTTTGCGTTAAGATCATAGAATCATAGAGTGGTTTGGGTTGGATGGGACCTCTAAGGGTCATCTGGTCCTGAATGCCCTTAGGCATGGTAGCTGTTTTTTGCTTTATAGGCTAAAAAGTTAAATTTTGTAGTGTATTTTGATCTCAGATTT